TAAACCCTGAAATTCTAAACCTTAAAATCCTAAACTTTAAACCCTGAACCCTAAACCCTAAACCTTATAAAAAAAAAAACCCAAACAGGGTACGACCCAGTAGGTCGGGTTTGTGTCGAGGCCCGTCTTCTCGGAAGCGGCCTGGCCTCTGGAAACTGATCTTCCAGACCTCGGGATGGTCTAGGGGTTTAGGGTTTAGGGGTTTAGGGTTTAGGGTTTAGGGTTTAGGGTTTAGGGGTTTAGGGTTTAGGGTTTAGGGTTTAGGGTTCAGGGTTGAGAGAATCTAAGCGCTTTAGGAGGGACCCTTGTGGGTTAATGGGGTTAATGTGGAGACTACCTGGCTATATAAGGGGTATATAAGGACTATACAATGGGTATTTAAGGGAATGGGAGTAAGTGTCCCTATTAGGGGTCCCTCCTAAAGTCCTTAGAAAACCCTAAACCCTAAACCTTAAACCCCTATATCCTAAACCATATAAACCCTAAACCAAAAACCCTATAAACCTTAAGCCCTATATATCCTGAACCTTATAAACCCTAAACCCTAAACCCCGAAACGCTAAACTCTAAACCCGAAACGTTAAGACGCCCAGGGTCACAACACAGGGAAGAAAAGGGAAGCACCCTCAATGTAGGGGCCTGAAGAATTACAATAGGGTTTGGGGGGTCCTTTATCGTATATAATTAACATAAGGAACCTCCAAAATAATGTAGGTAGTTCTTAAGGCCCCTAGAAACCGTAAAGCCATGCCCTAAACCCTAAACCCTAAACCTAAACCCTAAACCCTAAACCCTATGTCGCCTTGCAACCTCCAGCTGAATCAGGTTCAAACGACATCTGCTCCGAAGCTCTGGAGGAGGGTTTAGGGTTTAGGGGTTTAAGGGTTTAGGGGTTAGGGGTTTAGGGTTTAGGGTTTAGGGTTTAAGGGTAAGGGGTTTAGGGGTTTAGAGGTTTAAGGGTTTAGGGTTTAGGGTTTAGGGGTGAGGGGGTGTAGGGTTTAGGGTTTAGGGGTTTAGGGTTTAGGGTTTAGGGGTTAGGGGTTTAAGGGTTAGGGGTTTAGGGGTTTAAGGGTTAGGGGTTTAGGGGTTAGGGTTTAGGGTTTACAGGGTTTGGTGCTTTCCACCGAGGCACGATCTGTACCACAGACCACAGGTGCCGTGAAGTAGTCGCGGGAAAAGGCAAGGTGGTCCTACCAAGTAGCACCGAGTCGGCCAAGCTTCCCCCCTAACTCAGCTATGATATGGGTAGTTCTCCAAAACAGGGTCCCTTTTAGGGTCCTTCTTATAAGGGTGCCGTACTATTTGGGGGACCTTAAAGGGGCCCGAATTTAGAGAACTACCCATATGAGATGGTAGATTGTCATGTGCCATGATAGACTGCGCTGTACTGTACCATACCAAAATACCTAGAATATCGTACAGCATGTCAGGAACATCCCTGGCATCAAACAGGCTCCATGCTGCGATGTCAGCTCTATTCCAGCATTGGAACCAGGTAACCAGGGGTAAAAACAAGTATAGACTTCTATTTCATGATGCTGCCTTTAAGGAACAGCTCCCAAAAAAAGCACTCAAGCATGGTAATCTAGAGGCCTCAATACTTCGAACCAGGGTTTGGGGTACATTGTACGATTATGTAAATAAGGAACCCCCCCAAACCCTAAACCCTAAACCCTAAACCCTAAACCCTAAACCCTAAACCTGGTAATTATCCCGGCCCCTTGTTTACTCCAAAAATCACGACCGCTCTCCCTCCAAGCCCCCAGAGCTCGAAACCCCAGGAGTTGAAAAGCCCTAAACCGTGAAACCTCTCTTAGGATAATGTAGGGGCCTTAATAATTAGAATAGGGCCTTTGGGGGTTTGTTATTATAACTGTGGTATAGTATGTAGGGGCCTTAGTAATTAGAATAGGGCCTTTGGGGGTTTGTTATTATAATTATGGTATAGTATGTAGGGGCCTTAATAATTGGAATAGGGCTTTGGGGGTTTCCGTATTATATACCCCAAACCCTTGTAATTACTAAGGCTCCTGTATTAGACTCCCAATGCCCTGTCAGTAAAGGTTTCATAAGGGCTGTAGGCAGGTCTTGCAGGGGTTCTATTCAGGGTCTTTTCGGGTCTAGGTCAAGTGAGTGTGGTTCGGGTTTGGGGTTCCGGTTTCAGGAATTCAATGATAGCCCCACCGGTTTAGGGGTGTAGAGTTTAAGGTTTAAGCCCAATGTTTTTTCTCGTCTCTTGCGGCATGCAAAACGCTGCGAAAACCCTTTTAACCCTAAACCCTAAGGCCCTAAACCCTAGACCCTAAACCCTGGTAGTTGCATCGAAAACGCCATTCTAGCAAAAACGTCCGGAGCATGGACCCAGAAAAAGTGGGTGCTTCATGCCAGCTCACGTAACATAGGGGCCTGATGATCATTAGAAGAAGGTTTCGGATGAGGAACCACCCAAAAAAACGTATAGGGTTTAGGGTTTAGGGTTTAGGGGTTAGCAATCAATAAGGCCCCTATACACTACGCTAATTCCATGAAAAATGTACGTTAAAATTTCGGATATGAAGGGAAACATGCCTTGTTCGACCAAGGACATCCCCTCGAGCAACCTGCAGCATGGAACGGAACCCCTTTGAGGACGCGCCTGCGAGATATCTCCGCGCTCTTACGGCGGGAACGATGCCGACATGAAGAGGGGTGTAGGCTTTATAGGGTTTAGGGTGTAGGGCTTAGGCTTTATAGGGTTTAGGGGGGCGCCTCAGGAGTCCAGTACAGTGCATGGCTGCACTCGGAACTTGGCCTCATCGTTCACAAAATCTCGGATGTAGACCCAAATCTTTGAAGACTTCTTAGATAGCTCCTGGCCGTGACATGGTGCTAGGTTCACCGTGTTGGCCGCCAGGAACTTGTTTTGGTCGTCCAACCTTCGGAGCATCCTGGGTTCTTGCTCAGGAACGTATCTACAGTTATTCACATAATTCGGACCTGCAGTAGATACTGCGGCCCCTAACTAGGATAACTTATAATTCAAATATAATATAGTTTAATTTAACAGGATATACTGTAATAAAATATAGTATAATATAATCTGATATAATATGTTATAAAAAATATAATATAATATAATA